ATCAAAATCATGTTTCACATTTGAAATTTCTGAATGTAACTTGAGGCTTTTACTGCAGTAATTTTACAATGAATGAGACTTTAATCGCTTGACATGCCAATGAGAAAGAAAAAAAAAAATGGAGAGAAAAATAATATCTATTAATCCTTGTATATGGGTTTTCTTTGGTTTAAGACCCCCCCCCTCCCAATTTCTTGGATATTGACAAATCCTATAATCACTTCTCATCCCCTTTATAGAACCAAAGTACATATTAACCAGAGTTCATTTTCCGACCATCCCATTAGTCAACATCTATATTTAAAGAGGTCAGGTTAGGGTCAACCTCTGATGACTGAGATGTCCTGAAAAGGGAAAAGCCAAGAGAACTAAACATTTTCTGACATTATTTGCATTTAAGCATGCAAGGACATATATATTAACTGTAACCTTGAATTGAATTCACTATCATTGAAGATAGTGTCAATCAAACAAATGGGATTTGTCAACATTCTAGACCACAATCACTCCAAGGAAGGCCAGAGGGTACATGGCTTAAAAGAGAGACAAAGATAAGGAAATTAGTCCAATGAAAACCGCATACACTAATTAAAACAGGTTGACTAAAATTCAGACAAGAAATATTTATTTATGTTCCACAGTTTCTCATCAGCTGTAAGATGTTAAGAAACTTCTTACTGCTTGTTAGTTACTGTCTCAGTTATCTTAGAAAAGTGCAAGAACTCCTAATACTTGATAAAATGACATTTAGGCCAAAGTAGGAATATTACAAACTTCTTTAAAATGGTTTCTAGACAGAGTTTTATCAAATAAGCTATATATAATTTATTAACAGAGATTTCATGCATTTAAACTGATTTGTTTTAGTTTGGAGTCAGTTTTATTTTTAGGTTAAAGCAACAAGTCTAAGCAATTAAACATTTCATTTTATATATGAACTCACACTATAAGCCTTAAGTTCTCTATACTGGCAAACCCACAATCATTCAAGCACACATCTATGCCACTCGTTTCTGGATATTATATCAAGACTGACTGCTAATGAGAAGGGCATATATTTGGGTCCTGAAAACAATTTTGACTAATATTTTTATGCCAGTTTTGAACATTGTGACTTTATCTACGTCCTATTATTATGAGCTCAACAAAAAAAAAAAAAAAAAAAGAGCGGGAGAGAGAAAAAGAATTTGACCCAGTCAAATAATGATTCAGATCAAGACACATTCTGAGAACAGCTGTGATGTGTACCTCAAGTAGAGATAAATTTACTATGTTAGATATATTTCTCTGGAGAGAGATGTGATCATTCAATTTTAATCAGTATCTAGAGGACCACTTGGAGACAAAGCTTCTAATTGTTTATCTTTAAATAGATTAACTTTAGCATTTTGAAAATATCATGATTACTACTACTGTTTATAGAAAGTTTGCATGTTCAATGGTATGCTTATTTAAACTTCAATTGGAGAAAAAATTTCATTTAATAAAAATCATTCAGAATGTCATTAAGTCTTTACAATAATAGCAGAGTTCAAAATTCTAAATACTGCAAAAAAGATGAATTTCTTGAACTTTCCATAATTCTGAGATTCTTGTTTATAGCTTTTGAGAGTACACCATAATTTTTGCTATTTGGTTCAATGGCATCTTAATGACTTTGCAGTCTTCTTCTCTTGGATATAAAATAAGATCATCAGCTTGTGAAGCATTATTAAAAACTATTTTTTTAAGATATTGTATTTGCATGCAGCAATAGTGTTAATTGTATTGATAAAAATACTTGATTATTCATGCAGAAAATACAACCAATGTAAGTGCAAAATTATTTAAATATTGTGGTCGTTATTTTATGACACTACAGGTAAACTAGTATATGAATAATGTAGATAGAAAAAAAACAAACTGCAAATGAAATTTTTGTAAATATTTATAGTTAGCAATATAAAACTAACAGTAACTATTGCTGAAAAATGTTTCAACAGGAATCTTTCAAATACTTTAGACCATTATTTACATTATTCGGACTATTGTCCTCATCTTTGTTGCCATATTTATTATTATATTTTATTGTAATAAATAGGGCAACAAAGATGAGGACAATAGTCCGAATAATGTAAATAATATACATAATATCTCATCTCAGAAATATAGACAGATACTTTAGACCAACGTTTCTCAACTGGTGTGCCAGATTGCACTAGTGCACTCTGAAAGGTAGCCAGGTGTGCCTCAAGTTAACAGGAAAGTAATTTATGAATTATTTTTATATTTTAAAAAAGTGTTTATTTTTAAAAAGCTAGAGACACAACACAATGTAATGACTTAAAAATAAATGTTTATTTCTGAAGACTTCTTTACTATTTTCCTAATTTTCAAATTTCATGACTAATTTTTTCCTTATTAAAATATAAAGTGTATCCCAGAGTTTTAGCTATTCTACAAGTGCGCCCTGAAGTAAAAAAAAAAAAAAAAAAAGGTTGAGAAACACTGCTTTAGACAGATTATTGGCAGGGATGGGATAAGAGATTGAAATTGTTATAAAACAACAGGATTGACTCCAAGGACGAAAAGTGTGACGTCAAAGCAGCAGTAGATATCATAGAAACAACAGCAGAAAAAGAAGAGGAGGAGGAGGAGGAGGGGGATTCTAGTTCACAAACTATTCTCAGATTTAGAGTCTTTGTTCTTTTCTATTAAAAGCCATCACAAAAAATGACACACCATATTCACATAAATCTTAACTGAAGGACAAGTATTTTAGATTTTTTTTTATTTATTAAAAATCAAACAAATATATATATATATATATCTATATATATCTAAAGAGAAATTTTTGATTTTTATTTCAGCTATGTTTTCCTTGAAGAACATGTAAATTATTCATTAACCAAATAATAATATCAAATGAATTATGTGTAAAAAAAAAAAAAAAAAAAAAAAAACATTATCTCAATGGCTGCCTCTATGCTTTAATCCTGAGCTAATCAAGTTATCTTAAAAGTCTTGTTAAGAATCCAATGTATTTTTGCTTAGCTACATTGTAACTTTTGAAAAACGAGTAATAGTATTTAATGTACAGGGAGAAAACCTCCAAAGATATTTGATTTTCTAAATACTAAAATATGCAACCTTCTTGCATGAAGGAGATGTAAACATGAACAATTATTCTACTAGCATGTGAGGGAAATCCAGCAGCTATGTCTTTCTCTGATTCACCTCAGGTTTTATTTCAGTTATAGAAGATTTTTAACAAATTTTTTTTTTTAGGATGAACTATTCTTTAAGTGAAAGACTGCTTCATTTCATGGGTATTTGTGTTCAGTTTGAAAACACCAACATGTAGCACAGAAATCATTTCCAAATTGTTTGAATAACAGATTGAAGCTAACATGAAGAGGTACCTTAAAAGTTAAAAAGAAAGTTGAAAAGAGTTTGGGGAAAGAGAGGGTTCCAATAATAATTATGGTACTACAAGGCTCCTGGATGGATTCTTTTAAAAATCAAAATGCAAAGGACAGGAGAATGTTAAAGAGTTTGTAATGAACAAAATGACTGTGTTTATATAATTCAAAACAATGTCATATACAGTTGTATAACAAAATGTATAAAAAAATAAACAAAAAATAATTGAAAATGCTATATCTGAAAATTTTAGATTTAAAGTACAACAATGATTTAATTCTATTGAAGAAAAAATAATTTATCATAAAATAATTAAAAATAAACTGAATATGTTAGAAATGAGATTTTGTTTAAATTTCCATGTTTGTTTCTTATATGCCATATTTGTGCTATAAAATAAATAATATACCATCTGCTGACTTTGTCTTTCCTTTGTTTGCATAGCCAGTACAATAATTGCTATCATTGGAGGCAAGTTATACTCTGATAGTATCTTGAAATGGCCTTGGATACATTCTTGTTATATTGTTGCTGTCTTTTTGCAGCTTGCTTCCTGTAAAGACGAAAGACATTTTGTCTCTAGTCTTCTCCATGAATTTAGAACACATTGAACTAAACCTGGACAAACCAAAGAGAGAGAAGCTGCTTTTTAAATGATTTTCATACTGAGATGGCAGCTTGTAGACAGTGCTATTATAAAGCAAACAGCAGTGATGGGTAGGTAGATGGGCTGAAAGTAGGGAGGTATAAATGATGTTGGAGATAGAAGCATTGAAACAGAAGTAATAACCAAAATTTAAAATCATCAGTTAGCATGAATTTGAAAGATAGCTCAGAAAATAATTTTGTAAAAAAAAAAAAAAAAAAAGGAAAATGTTTTAATTAAAAAAAAGAGAAGGATTAAATGAAAGGAAAAAAAAAAAAAAAAAAAAAAAATGAAGAAGCTCCTGGCTCACAACAATGGCTTTGAGTTCCAAGTCAGAATTGCTTTCAGATTAAATGCAATTTTCCAATTAAAATAAGTTGAGAGCAGTTTCTGATGTCCTTCTCTCTTTCCAGCATACACCCCCTGCCAAAAACAAAACAAAAAAAACAAAACAAAAATACAAAAAAAAAAAAAAAAAAATAAATAAAATTAAACCAGAATTACATTCCATACTGTATGTCTAATTGCTGGTGGCTGAAGTTCTTGCTTGTGTTCTCAGTAGCGGTGGGTGGCTGGGTGGGTGTAGGGTGCAGTGGCTGTATGGAGAAGAGCCAAGGTGATAGAAAGAGAAGTTCCCTTTTCCTTTTTTTTATATTTTATTTTTTAAATGCTTGTTAGCATTTTAAAAGAGAGGCAGGCAGGATATTATGGACTAGGAACAGACCCCCTCCTCTGTCATGCACTTTTGCTTAGTTGCAGGCTCTTCCTCCTCCTCTTTCCAATTGTCCACCACTGGTCAAACATAGAAGAAGAGGATGAGGAGGTAGGCATGGACAGGGTTAGGGAAGGTGGAAATAATGTCAGAGTGGTGGCAGGAGGAGGAGGAGGAGGAGGTGGAGGAGAGTTACTTGAGACCCAGAATAGCAGACCCCACTCCAGGAGCTCTCCTCCACTACTGGCCACTGCCTTGCTGTGGGGCGGTTCCATTCACCAAACCCTTCAACTGCTTCAACACAGTATCCAACAATTTCTTCTTATCGCGTTCATTCTTCTTTAAAGAGGCAAATACAAATTTCTTCTTATCGCCGCTGTTCAACCTGTGGGAGAAATAAAAGAAAAAACAAAGAACAAAATTATGTTCAATTTAGATGGTAACATTTATCTGCCACCCATTCCCAATACTTTTTACCCTAAAAATATATACAGTGTAACCCGGATATAAGAGAGTTGTCGGGACTGGAGAAGAAGTCTCTTATATCCGGGTTGGGTCTAATTTATATACATTAACACAGGCTCTAATTTGGGACCAGAGAAAATCTCTCTCATATCCGGGTTACACTGTATCTAAAATTTGAAGAAAAAAAAAAATCAATCAATATATGTAACTATTACCTAATTCTGGTTGTTCCTTCGTGAGTTAGCACATACATTACATACTGCCAATACCTTATAAATAATGGACTATACCATTTTAATTGTGAGGAAAGACAGAAAAGATAGAGACACTGTTTGGTTTCACTGAGAGAAAGAGAGAGGAGGTGATAATACTCGTGTATTTAATGTCTGCTTCAGGAAAATGGAAAAACTTGTCAATTTATAATCTTTTCCTTTGTACCCTTCTACCTCTTTAATGATCTGCTTTTATATTTATACTTGTTATTGTAATATTTTGTTAAAGTTATTAAGCTCAAATATTTAACAATCCAATAAGGAAATTTTCATGGGTATTTTATAGTTGCATAGCTTGCAAGGAGCTTATTCCATCTTTATTAACTTAAGAATTATGATTCATCAGAAAATTCAAAAAGCAAAACCATGAAATTTTCACAGGTATTTCAAGTCATTTCTAATGTTATTTACAGTTGGACTAATAATAATTGTAAGTCTACTTCTCAGGCCAGAAGACACAGATGTACTCAATACTTGGTGGGAACAGGTCTAGCAATAACTGAACAATTAAGCAAGATGAGAGATGTCTAGACATGGAGATTTAAACGAGAACAATCTAACCCTGTAAACTGAATAAAGGGTTCAATCCAAATAAGAATCTGCAATGTTAATGACATTTCAGCTTTAGTCACTTTTCCACTGTTGTAATGTAGCTTCCCCATACCTTTTCTATAAATTATTTTCATGCTAATTATTCTGATGAGTTTTCCTCTTTGGTACCTCAACTTTACAAATTTAAGCACAGTACTAGAGTGGCAGCTAAGTTACATCAGTATACAGTCAAAATGGCTAAATGTAACGATTTCTTCTCTTACACATGGAACTCTTTTCCAGCCTCTTGCTTTCCAATTAACTTTGATCTTCAAAAATTTAAATGCAATGTCAATCATTATCTTCCGTTTTCTTAATCTGTTCTTTTATTGTCTCACTCTCTTTAATATTTTTTCTTTTTCTCATATTCTTTCACACTTAGTAACCCCTTGTGTATTAGTGGCTTTATTATCTTGCTTGGGGTGAAATGAATAAAAAAAAAAATTCAAAATTTCCTAAAGGTTACACATATCAACAAACACCTGAAAAATGCTGGAGGTCACAACAACTGAAGCATTGTGATATGAACAAAGATGAGAACATTAAAATAATAACTCCTCCTCCCAGAAATTCAAGCACTTATGATCTCTTCCCCGCTTTCTTACTAAAGTAGGAAAAAGCAAAATCTAAAATAAAAGATGAAATAATGTTGATCATACAAACCAAGAGTAACGAAATAAAAACAAATATGATGGTTTATTAATAAACTTTCAAATATTTTTTCTTGAAAAATAAAAAATAGATGAGATGATATTGTAAAAAAAAAAAAAAAAAAAAGGATTTATTATAATTATAATTTATTAAAATGCTTTTGTAAGGATTTTAATAACTTAGAGTAAACAAAAGACACACTGGTTCCTGTACAATCACTGAAGTGAAGCAACATCGAGCCTGGTCAATACCTAGAGGGGTGACCATTTGGGAATACTAGGTACTGTAAGCTTGGATGTGTGGGTGGTGTAATGGACAATGGCTTGGAATTGTTAATTGGAGAGTCGAGTTCCAATTGAGTTTGTTATATACACTTACACACAAATAACCTCGAGGAAAGTATGAATCCACCTCTTCTCCCCCAGCTATGAGTTAATTAGTAAGACTTGTATCACTAAAACATTAATGTCTTAAAAAAAAAAATTAATTCTAAAAATCTAAATCTAAAAATATTTTCTGGCTTTAAATAACCCTCAAAGGGTTGATAAGCCATAGAAAATGTATCAATAAAATAAAAACAGTAAAACAAAAAAAGATAATTATCATTTAAAAGAAAAATAATAAAATGTAAAATCTTTAGGTAATTTCAGCCCAAAATGTGTGCAGTTTATTCATTTAATACCTATTTATAGACTTATTGCTTCTTTATCACAAAAAATTCTTAACAGGAAGATGATTAGGGATCAGGATTTCATATTAAAATTCATTTATAACACAGAGCTTGGAAGTGATATGCACATTACAGCTTTGATGTAACTGAAAATTAAAAATGCACATCTATAACTATACAATTATTCAATATTTAAAATTAAATATTTCTTCATAGTTATGCATGTGATAGCTAAAAAGATTGTAAATTTTTTGATTAGAATTAAAATTCTAAGTAACTCAATTTTGTTTTGCTATTCAAATAAGAAAAAAGAAACATTTCTAGAACATATATTTAAGCACATCTTTTTAGATTATTTTACATTTCATAGACATTTAGTAGATCAAATGATATACAAAGAGGTGCTGAAAAGTTCTCAGCTCCAAAACTGCCCAAATATAAGAATTTTTGATAATGTTTAACCTTCATGCCCACAAAAGAACTGTGTATTCCTTCGGCACTTCTATCACTGGACATAATTTTGACATCCTCTGCAATGTTTATTATTTGACTTTTATAAAGAAATTAATTTGAAAAGAAATCTTTTTATTCAAAAATTTATAAAAACAAAATTATCAAAATATGTAAACAAACTACAATGCAATATTTGCAGTAAAAATTACAGACATTCTATAATTATACACAAGGAAAACTTTGTCCATTGGGAGATAAACACTCAAAATATCAAGTGTCTGTGGTCTTGCCTGATATCGAAAATTAAAAGAATTTTTGGTTCAGAGGAGGAAATGCTCTCAACCTATTTTAGTGAATTTATGTGGTGAAAGCAAATGAAATGGCCAGAAAATGCATTTTTTCAAAATTTATAATTACAGCTACTTGTTATGTGAATTTTCTAGTTCAGATATTTTTATAAATATTCTAAATATAAAATTATTCTTGTAAATAAGTAATCTAATAAAGAAATAGTGTTTAATATCTTTGTGTTCTCAATTCTCAAGAATAAAGAAAATGTATAAACTCACTTTCATATGTTTGGGTTTTATTAATATTCTAATCATCACTTTTTCAAACAAAAAAATTTAAATGCAATGTCAATCGTTATCTTCTTATTTCTTAATTCCTGTTCTTTTCTTGTTCTCTCTTCTTAATAGTGTTTTTTTTTGTTTCTCATATTGTCTAAAACTCAGTAACCCCTTGCATCTTTGTGGCTTTTTATTGCCTTCCTTGGTGTGAAATTATTAACAAAAAAACAAAACATTGCCAATGAAGTCAAATGTTTATATAGTAATAGCAGTGTCAAGAGAATAACTGTCCTTTTGACACGTCATTTTTTTGCAGGCATGAAAGTCAAACATTGCTGATTTTGTTTTTTTGGTGAAAGGTCTTTTCAGCAAACCCTCATAATCACATAATATAAAGAAACTATTTACTCACTTCTCTAACAAAGAAATAGCTACATCTGGCTTGACACGGACATATTTACACTTGGCTTGCCCATAATCAGCCAAATAAGCTGACCAGTCCCAGTTCAGGAATAAATCCAGTAGCTGAAAAATAAGGTTACTTTTTAAATAATTTTTATCGATATACATATCAATAGATAAAAGTAATTTGGTTCTATTTGACAACAAAATCATGGAAATTGTCAGCACTTTCTTCAGTCATGGCCATTTCTAAAGTGCTGTAAGCGATTAACCCATCAACTATGGATGACAGGAATTTTGCTATATGTAAGTTAATTTTAGTATTTGTCATAATAGAAAGAGGAGCTTAAAAGTGGAATTTCTTTTTCTGATAAAAGATTACAATTGTAGACAAGACTTAATACTAAATTAACTTACAAATACTAAGTTAGACAGAGCGAACAGTTACTACATTTATCCGAGGCTGAAAATCCAACCTATTCATACTGGAATTTTTGATAAATACTATGTTTATTTATAGATATAAGAACTCATGTGAAAACTTGATCAAAGTAAAAACTTAACAAAATATTCAGTCATTTGTGACAGCATGAGAAAATAGTTATGTTAAGAAATTTTACCTTAGGAAATTAATATAAATGCAAGTATTATTTGCTGGGCATTTTTTTGATAGATATGTAGTCTACTAAAAAGACAAGTCTCGTTCACAACTCACCAAATGAGACTTGTCCACAACTGTAATATTTTAGCAGAAAAACAAACTCCACTTTTAGGCCCCTCTTTCTATTATGACAAATAATTTCTGTGTCATGGGTCTTAAAGTCTAACCTGTCTGAGGTCTGCAAAAGCAAGTAGCAGCGTCCCATCATTAAATCCAGGCACTGGTTCTGAAGCAGCAAATTCTAAAGTAAAAAGGAAAAAAAAAAAAGAAATTGTAGACAGTTATCTTGTACAAAGAATCTTATTGCCATTACACAATACTTTATTACTTATTAACCTCACCATTTTCAACAAACTGAAAGTTCCATAAGCATCTTCTACACTTTTAAATAAACTTTTTTTTTATATATACTCACCTTCAAAAATTAAAAGACAAATTAACAAAAGTTAATTTTCAATGGTAACATTGTCCAAACCATTGTTAATATAAAAGACATCATTTTATTTGAAAGCATATGAAAGAATATGTTCAAATTAATGCAAATATTTCATCAGTAAACCTGTAGTAGGGTAGAAAAATATTTATAATGTTCTGGTGTTGTGGAAAGGGAAACTAAACATGTCTTATCTTTTAGCATAGATTGCTTCTTCATATTCAATCCAATTGAGTGAGTTCATTTTAAATGCCATTATATTTTGGCCATCATTTCTTTAAACAGTGGAAAACAAAAAATGTGTACAATTCAAAACATTTTATTCAACTATCAACAGAATCTAGCAACAACAACAAAAGGGTTGTAACTTGGACACTAGAAGTGGTCATTATATATCATCATCATTACTGCCATTATTAGTAATTATCATTCACTGCCATACAAAAGAATAATTCATTCTTATTTATAGAATAATAATTATAACAATTTAAGTGATCTGATTTAATTGCTTTAAATCTGTCTGAATAAATAATTTCTTTCAATTTCTACATATGGTCTATCAGAAAAATGCTACATACTCTGTAGAAATCTTAGTGATCATTAACAGATCAGCCAGTTCTTAAGTTTGAAAACTTTAAGTAATAAATTGAATATGCCAGCAGTACATTTGGGCACCTAATACAAGGAAGGAGTCTTAATAATTGAGGGTGTTGGAATTTTTATCAATATTCAATAAACAATGGGTGCCTTAAGAAAAGTGGAGGTGCAAAATTCAGTTAAATGGTCAAAAAATACAAAATTTATAAGCTTGAAGGGTGGTTGAAAAATTTCTTCAAGAAAAAGTCCCTTTGACTTCTATTAGGCACCTAAGTGTAAGGGATAAAATGAAAATATTTGTAAATAGTGGATTCATCAAAACATGATTTGACTCAAAAATAGTAATTGTTTAAACAGTCTTTCTGCACCAATGTAATTTAAACAATTATACCTGTCACACTAAATAAATGAAATTATTCACCTACAAGTAACTATAGTTAAAATTTGATGTGTGTGGCCTTTATCTTCCATCTATCCAAATAGGATACTTTTGTAACTTCTTTCATCTATTGTACTTTTATGTACATTATTTTTTTTTACATTCATTTATGTTTAATGTCTATGTATAGCTGATAATGTTATAATTATAACATCCTTTGATAATGCTGTTTTTTTTGTTTGTTTTTTTTTTTTAAATCAGAATCAGTAATAAATAACTTCTTTAGCAATTTTTCAATCAACACTCAAATAGAGAATATCAGTTGAACCGGAAGTGAACGTAGTTATTTCCCTTTACAGTCAAATCTCTCCGGCATAAATTTAAGTGAGATAGTGAAACTAGTGAAAACTGTTTTGTAACCTCGATTTAAAGCATCAGCTAAGTGGTTAACAAGTGCCTGATGCTGTTCATTACTGCAAATGAGCCTAGATTTATATGGATTGTAAAGAAAAGGAAGGAAAAAAAAATAGTTTGTGTGTGTTTTGAAGGTCTAATGCAGTGTTTCTCAACCTTTTTAAGCAGCAGCACAACTAGGTGAAAATCATAACACACGAAGCAAAATTTTTAAACCATAGATTTAAGAAAAAAAAAAAAAAACACGCACACAGATATGAACTTATCTTATTTCAGTGTTTCTATTCAACTATTTGTGCAGCTTATTTAGTGTGAAACCTGTGCCAGGTGTTTTTTCTCAATTTCTTCAATGTTTGGTTGATTGCACAATAAGCAGACCTTCATTTCTTCTCCAGTTGAGCATAGTCTTTCTCCTTTCTTACTACTCCCCCCCCCGCCATATATATGTATGTTGTGACAATATTTCACGGCACACTAATATGCTGCAGCATGGCAGTTGAGAATTGCTGGTCTAATGCATCCTGTTAAAGGATGCTGTAAAAAGTTAATGTTTTTAAATATCTTTGGTTTGATAATTATTAATTCTTTATGCAGAAATTAAAAGGTAATGGCTGTATAATCTAATGAATAAATTTATTTTTGATGCATTACATTTGGGCACCTGATTAATGTTCAGTTTGACAAGCTTTATGCTGTGCAGTATTTTTAAGAAAGTGTGAAAAATTCAAACACAATGTATGTAGCCAGTGTACAGCAGTCAATTTACCTTAGAATTGTCTGCATATATATGATCGAAAAGGTAATAGCAGAAGTTTAGTCTGCTATAATGGGCTTATGAAAATCTGTCTTTTAGTGATATGCTAATAGAAAACATATATATAAATTTGAGTAAATTGAAGAAATTATATGTTGCACAACTTTAAAAGAAAATCAACTACCTACTGATTTACTGTAATTGATTCTGGCTATTTTTATGAATTTGATAATTCAAACAAATGCTAAATTTTACTGGAATTAATTTTTTAATTACCCTCCACAGTGCCATATTCCCCTGTGAAGAATAGGACTACAACCTCACCAAGTTAGGTGTTGCTGCTGTGGTTTCCATAGGAAGTAAGTTTTTACAGGTTGGAGTTGCCATTGCTATACCCAACTGGTTTAGAATTCAGAGTTGTTTTCTTAGACTGGTTGCCAATCCAGTCTAATTTGCTTATTTAATCCATAGCTTGTGGGGGAAAAGAGATGGATTCATACCTTTCACAAAGGTATACAACTGAATGAGAGTGAATGCAATGAATGGAATTAATCAATTTCTCTTATATTAATTCTAAATATAATTTTTACAAGGTTCATATTGTTAAAGTTTCCTGAGCCAGTCCTATATATCACTACATCCTAATGATAGAATTTAAGCAGATCCTTTGGTAATTACATACAGCTTGCATACAAATGGCATGTGTCACTTCCCCCTACTAAATTATAATATAGGTGTAATGAAAGAGATAATCAGTTACCCCACCCCCCAAAAAATTCGGGTTTTGTGTGCAATCTGCTGAAGAAAAATTACCAAAAAGTAGTTAGCAAAAATCTACTTCAATGACTAGAATCTATGCTAATGTTCTTCCCTCCCCTGAATGGCGTGACCAATCAGAAAGATCTCTTGATGAACCGAAGCTGTTGTTTTTTGCTTATAAAGGCAGAAGATTTTCTGAGCTGGTGAGCTGAACACACATTTTTGCTTGTGAGAAGTGAAGGTTGGACGTGCGACCCCATTTTGTCGCTTCTACTTTGTTTGTTGGACTGTTACAATGGGCTATCGTGTGAACTGCGATTTGGCTACAAGTGTTGTGGACAAGAGACAAGAAATCTATTGCAGTTGTTACTATAAGTTGACAGTCTTTTCTTTTCTTTACTACAACAATAGGGAAATCAAATTTTTGGAGGCAAAAATTTGTTCATAATCCTAAAGCAGGCCTAAACACTAAAAAATATAAAAAAAATTAAAATTGTACATAATAATTCGGAAGGTAATAGCTATTGTTTAGAATTAAACAGTAGTTACTACTTTTCAAACTACTATGCAAAAATTGATCTTAGTTTTTAAAATAAGACTTTTTACTTTGCAAACAAAAGATGAAATAGAAAGAAAATTCTTACGTTCACATTGAATTAAATCCAAATTGAACTGTTGCAATGCTCCCATTGTTATCTGTTTAACATCATTATCTAACACAAAGTCCATGAGGCTGGAGGCTATATGTTTACAGGCTGACATGCAAGCTGTCCGTGCTACCTTCTCCTGAAAATAGGAAATAAAAAAATATATGGACAAATATTTGGAGGTTCATTTAGGTTATAATGCCATGAGGATCTTATTTAACATTTTTAAATTAATTAATAGCTATATAAGTAATGTAAGTTTGTGAAAGACAAAACTGTGTGTAAGAAAAATGTGTCAAATTTTTGAGGATAAGAGAGTCTATAAAATCCCCATGCATTTTCCTTACACACTGTTTTGTTTTTCATTCTGACCTGCAGAAACCAAACTCAACTCATGTTACATCGGCAAAATGTCTTTTCTAAGAACACTTAGTGAATGCTAAACTTTCCATTTCAATATAAAGATTATTGAATTAAAAGAGGATAAAAAAAAATAATCTTTCAACATGGAATTTTGTCATTTTTCTTTTATCCATAAAAATGTATATTGCATTAATAATTTTCCTTCCAATTTTAATTTTTGATGTGCACATAGCAGTGATTATTGGCATGCAAAGTTCAGATTCCATCAGTTTATTGCATTCACTTTCATTCAAGTGTATACCTTTGTAAAAGATATGAATTTAACTCTATTCCCCACAAGCTATGGGTTAAATAGCAAAGATTTTCCACTTTGTCTAATCATCTTCATAAGTAAAATAATATAGTAACTATAAAATGTGAATGAAATGACCAGCTACCAGTTCTTTCTGTGCACACCCCATGCCATGGTGTGCTGACCTAACCCTATTACAGATGCCTGCTCAGAGTACACCTGTAGTTTATAGTGTAACTATGCTGAGCAGACCTTTAGTTACAGTTTCTGAGAGAGAACACATAATCTGGTATGTTCAATTTCTTGAACAAGGCCAGTATACTCAAACCCTTGATAATGATGACTTGTGACTGTGTTAGCACAACCATCAACAGCTCCAAAATGGTTGCATCTACCCAATTCTACTCACAAGGCTTGGGTCAAACAATGGTATCAATTTTTTTTTAAGGCACTTTCCAAAGATGCCACATGCTAGGATCGCCTCCCCAGGTTGATAACACCAAGAAGTTACCTTGATGGCCAAATCAACCATGACAAGATTCAAACCTGTCTCTGATGGCCATAAAGCAACTGTTCTAACCACTCAATCACAAGACCATCATAGCAACTATAATTAATCTAATAGTCAACATTATTGCTGTACTGATGAATGGGTTATAAATCTTCTCATTGTATATATCTGAGCAGGGTATGGCTGTTTTTGCACAAGTGTTCATCTCTCTCACATTATTTTAAATTTGGATTATTTTATCTCATAATAATCAATTATTATAATTAATTTCTTTTTAAAAATATGATTTCATCATGACACAGAAAATTTCCAGGTTTAAAAACTGAAACTAAATTTATAAATCTAATTATTAAAATTAAACTTAAAATCCATAGTCTTGTTCCATTGTCAAGCAATAATAGGATTAAACTTTCAAAAAAAAATCTACTTAATTTATAAGCGTATACAATATTGATATTTTGAGTTGTCATGATTAAGGAAAATCTATTTTAATTTAGGGGTGGTTGGGTTTTAATTTTCTTAGACAGCTTATGTATCCAATATACGTTGCTTACAAAGTCAGGTTAAGTTTAGGTGGGGTGGGTGTGTCTGCTAACACATGTATACTTCCATTCTTCAGTGAGTCGGCTAGGTTTCCAATGATAAAAAAAAGAAAAAAATTTAGGCATTTTCATTTATCTGCTTAATTCATATTTTTGTACACAAAGGCTTTCTTAAATAAAAAAAATAAAATAATAAAGAATAGAGATGAAACATACATTTTTATATTTGATCTTTAATTAGTAATGAAATTCTAATATATTTGTAAAAATACCATATAGTTATTAGAAGGTCAAATGGTATTTTAAATCTATAAGAATAAAATTTAATTAATAAAATATAAGTATTAATAATGTCTTCCACATATTTAGATGACACTTTTAGAAAACCCAGTTTTTGGAAGTTTATTCCTGTCATCACTTGACAATAGAATGAGACTATGGATTTCAAGTTTAATTTTGATAATTAAATTTATAAATTTAGTTTCAGTTTTGAAACATGGAAATTTTCTATGTCACAATGGAATCATATTTTTGAAAAGAAAATTATTATTATATTTTGCTCTATTGTTTTGTATCAAGCATTGTTTTTTTTAAAAAAATAAAAATAACTGTTAAGAACACTGCATTATAAATCTTACTATTCTTTCTTATTATTTTAATATATGTAATAATCAATTATATATTTATTGTATGTTTACATATTAAAAAGAAATGCATTTATTAAGATTTTATATATACAGGGTGAGGCAAATGTTGCACACCCCAGGGTTAATATATTAAAAGTATAATTACACATGGAAATTTTATTTACTAGCTATTTAATTTTCACATGTGCTGCTCAAAATGTCCTCCTCCTTTTTCAAAAAACATTTCAATTTTGTGCCTGCCTGATTCATTAACACATTGGACAGTTTCCTCTGTCATTTTACTGCATTCATATTTAATTCTTTAAGTTCCTCAATATTTTTTGCGCACGTCTGTTAATTAACTGATTTCAAATGGCCACATAGAAAAAAATCCAAGTCTGGTGACTTTGGTGACCACTCAACAGGATCTCTTTGACCTATCTATTAACCCCTATAATGTGTGACTTTTGCCTCACCCTGAACATGCAATATGATATTATGAATTATGAAATTTTAAAACATCAATACGTAATTTTTTTTTCAAACTTTACACTGGCTCCAGCATAAAATTTGGGTATGCAGATGTGGTTGTTGTTGTTCTCTAAAGAGTTAACAATCAAATTTACAATGGAAGAAAATCCTATTACACAAAAACCCAATAAAAAATTATTTATAACTTGTCCATTTTCTGTTATAATTATATTAACAAATTCAAGAAAGAATTCTGTGAATTTTATCTGAAAGTCAAAGAGAATACCAACTCACAGGCAGATTGGTGAATGACATAAATGTACTTTGTAAGAAAGCAATAAGATCCATCAGGTATCCACTGGCATGGCCCTTGGATTCAGTCAACATCCAATCATAATTAGCTAGAAAATAATAAAAATAAGTGCAAATGATATAATCAGTTGTCAAGGACAATAAATGAATAGAAATACTCTTTAAATGAAAGGGTTAATAATTATAATTTTTTCATCATTCTTTTGTGTTTGACTACTTCTGTGCATGGAAGGGTGTCCCTGCAAACACCTCCAGTGGGGAACCCCAAGGACACACTATGTTGCACTCTGTGCCAATTCCCTTCCTGCACATGTTATATTAGATGACTGACTGCTACTACTACCCTAAGCCTTTCCTTACCAAAATAACACATCATGATTATAAACAACCAAAGATATAAACCTAAACCAGCTTAAAAAACACCTAAACCCTTCACAACCTTTCTTTTTCCAAAATTCATGGTATTCATACCAACTTCTGCAGTGTGAAATCATTCCTCTTCAAAAAGTTTCCTGACATCCTAGCTCTCTGTGAAACTAATCTTAACACTTCAATCCCCCCCCTCTGATTTCTCAATAGCTGGTTACCTTCCTCTCCTTATGAAAGACTAATGTTCACATGCATGGCCTGGGAGTTTATGTATGTGAACATTTACCACTGACTAGGGAACTATCTCTTAATCTCCAGACCATTTTTACATGTGTCTCCGTCTCTCTCTACTAAACTCAGTCAGCTATCTCTTCTTTCTCTACCATTCACCTTCCTCTCATGACTGTTGAGTACTAGATAGTATTTCTGAGGCCATCTCCCTACACCTGTTTGCAAATATATTCATTTGGTAACTTTAATGCCCACCATACCAGGTGGTTTAAATACTTTCACTGACCTCGCTGGCATCCAAACACTTAAGTTCTCAATCACTAAATCTCTCATACAACACGGACACGCTTCTCTTTTAGATCACATTTTTACCTCTATCCCTGCTTCTTGTATTACACAACTCTGCTCTCTTGGCAACTCTGATCCCGCAGTAGTGTCTGTAAAATCCCTTTCTGCTGCTCACCAACCAAGAACCTCCTACCAACAAAATATCTTTCTGTTATCAACAAGCAGATTGTGACATCCCTTGGAATGCAGTTTTTAATCATCCTGTTCAAAAATGCACATCTGAGGTCTCCTGAGTGAAAGCTGGCACAGATGCTTTCATTCCAGCAAGGAAATTCCAAGTTAAACCACTTTCATCTCCTTAGTTCTCACATGCATGCTCAGCTGCTATAGCCTACAAGAATCATTTCTTCTAGCGGTACCAGAATGACACATCTGATTGCAACAGACATCTCTTTGTCTCTGCTTTTAATGAATGCAAGCATGTCCCCAATAAAGTGAAGTTACTGTTTGCTGATAGAATGAAACAATGTATAGCATCTCACAAGTTTGGTTCTAGAAATTATTGGTGACTCTGCAAGAATGTACTGAATAAAGGCAATTCCTTCTCTATTCAGTCAATTTGAAGTTCTGACATCTACATTAGATAAGGTTGAATGCTTTGCTCAGAAATTCTCTTCCAACTCAACACTCATTTGGAGTACCCACACCTGATTTCCCCACTAGAACTGAGGCTCTACTGAGTACTATGTGCATAACCCTGTCACTGGTCTTGGACATCATTTCTAAATTAGACTAAAGGCTAGCGAATGTGACAGGATCACACCTGTCATTCTAAAGAAATGTGCTCCCGAGTTGGCTCAGTTCTCTCCAAACTCTTCAACAAATGCCTGGCTGCTTTCCAGCTTGTTGAAAGTCTTCCTCTGTAGTTCCTGTTTTTTTAAGAACTCTGGAGAACCTTCTGATCCCTTTATCACCCTATTAATCTCTTACTGCTTTTCAGCAAAGTTTCTGAGGTTTTAATCAATTTAATCAATGATTAAGCATCTTACCTCTCATGATCTACTCTCTGACAAACAATATGGCTTCCGTTTTGCCTGGTCTAGCACTGATGTGCAAATGGCCATCAGCTCTTCATAATAACAGCAAAGCTAAGGCTGTAGCTCTAGATATCTCAAAAGCATTTGACAAGGTATGGTATTTTGGTCTCCTACAGTATATGGTCAAAGGAAATTAGCAACTCTACACCAGTTTCTTGATATTTTTCATTGTTCTCTTCCCTGTATCTGCTTTGTCATTCATTCCTCCTGTCACAACTGTACATACAGTATGATGTACCCCAACAAAGACATCTCTCATCTCCATGATGGTCTACTTATAATGGTGACTCACTAATCATTCACCCAGATGATAGACATACAGGCACCTCAGAAGGGAGCACCCGGATGTCCCTCATTGATTCCATCCAACCACACTATTATACACAGTTGCTAATGAACCAATTTCTTGTGGGTCAACAAAAAAGAAGGGTCACTTGACAGAACATACTTGGCTTCTCTCAAATCAAAGTCCTACATGCCAGACAAAGACAAACTTTTTTTCGTCGTGAATAAGTCATGTTCACCATTTCTGCCATTCAACTCAGATTCTGGTTCACTACGTCTGCCACACAGTATTACAGGAAAATTGTTTGATTTAATCCAATCATTCCTGTCAAATCATGAAATGAAGGTCATTCTGAATGTGCTTGCTTCCAGATCCTTTCACATGAACACAGGTGTCCCCCAAGGCTCTATCCTGGGCCCTACATGGTTTGTGATCTTCCTGGTGTCATCGGTTACCAAATAGGCATTTATGCAGATGACACTACCATTTACTCCTGTCTCAATAGCAAATCCGTTTTAACCTGAAATGCTGCTCTTAAACATTGGACCTCCAATCAGTGGTTAACTGGAGAGCATCACACTGTGGCTTCTTGGCCTCACATTTTCAACTGACTTGAAGTGGAACAACTATACTGAATCAATAGCTGCATCTACTGCAAGGAAAATTGGGTCACTGTGTTGTGCCAGAAGGTTTTTCTTGTCAGAGTCCATCTTGCACATTTACAAATCTGCAATTTGGCTGTGCATTGAATACTGTTGTCATATCTGGTCCGATGCTCCTGCTATTTGTCTTGAGGTTGTTGACAAAATCCAGAGAAGGATCTGCAATGTAATCGATCCTGATTTGGCATATTGACTTCAGTCACTTTCTCACAGACGTGATGTGACTTCCCTCTGCCTTTTCTACAAATATTTTCAATATGAGCTTTTTCCCTGGTGCTCCAACTAGATGAATTTAAGCGTGCTACTAGATTGGCATCTAGGTCCCACCCATTTACTGTTGAAATAGTTAAATGTAACCACCACTTCTACTCCAGCAGTTTCTTTTCTGGCACTCCTCACCTGTGGAAGTCTCTTCCATTTACTTGCTTTCCTGAAAACTATAAACTTCAAAAATTTAAATGCAACATCAATTGCCCTAAATTTTGAACCCAGTTCATCTTTTATCCTTTCCTCAATCCCCCTATACTCAGTCTTTTCTCTCACTTTCACTCTGTAACCCCCTGCATACTAGTGGCATTCCAGCCTTGCTTGGGGTGAAATGATTTAAAAAACAAAAACAAAAAAAAACCTCCAAATTGGAATTTATGTTTATTCTGTGCTGAAATTGTAATATATCTTCTGACAAGTTTATGTCCATTAAAACACATCCATATATGTTAAGGTGTTTCCAATCAATTGGCAACATGTTATTATTATGTTACTTGGCTAAAACACATTGTCTGTGGCTTAAGATGCTAAGGCAAAACCTCAAAAGACAAATAGTAGTCTGCTCCCTGTTAACCATTCCAAGGGATGGTAGTGCTGTGAAAGGAACAGATTTTATTTTATAATAATAAATGTGTTGGATAAGTAAATGTTTGTATTTCAATTTCAGATATTTCTTCTATATTCAACTGACAAGTTTCCTCTTAAAAATTATCATTCTAAAATGAATAGAATAGGGAAAAAGTAGAGAAGAAAATACACCTTGCAGTTGCAAAATGAAGAGGGGTGTAAAAACTGATGAAACATCAAAACCACTATTCTTAAATAATATTTTTACTTTTCAGAATTATCAATATAAGCATAGGAAAAAAATCATTAAAAGTAATAAAAAATGATGCTTTCAAGTAGAAAATGACTTCTTTTAAATTTTAGATAAATATTGTCATTTATACCCCCTCCCCCTTTTCACAATGTTACTTTTTCCTCATGGAATTTGAAAAATTATTCAATATTTGATTCTAAATAAGAATTTAATTCACTTTCTTTATAAAGAAAATTATGCACACAGAATAAATATAAAATTCTGTATAAAATAAATTTGTTAACAATATTTGATTGAAAAAAAAAAATAAAATAAAATTTAAAAAACTTAATGTTGGGAGGAGTATTTCAGCTGAATTGTAAATATTTAAAAAATGAACAAAAATTAATAAACTTGTCCAGAATAATAATCACAAAAAAACATATTTTGCATTGTATTTATTTATATCTGACATCCAACCTCATAGGAAAAATGTGCACTTTTCTTTGCAGAATGTGTCATAAATTACTCATGCTTATGCCCTGAGGCTGTAAAAGTGAGGATTTATAACATTTTGTCATTTCAACTTAGAAATATTCATTCAAGTTGTCATTACCATTGCCTCCTCAGCATATTGTCTTATCTGCAAATGTCAGCCAGTATTCAACTATTTTTCACAATATAATAAAACTTTATTCAGAGAAATATAAAAATCACCAAAACCGATTTCTCAACAACACAGAGTAAGTAAACTACATTGTTAGTTTATATTCTTATATATCTGGATATTGGCTAAACTTTATCTCATGTCTACTCATCACAAAGACCCAGCTGTTCTGATGGTTTTTGTCCAAAATAGGGTCTTATCTTTTTACTGTCTCTTTCATCCTGCATCTAAAATACTAATTTACTTGGAACTAATTTCTGCTGGACACAAACTTGATTGCGTATTTTTTTTTTTTATTGTCTGAGGAACAATAATAAAAAAAAAAAAAAAAACTTTTACTGACAATTAAAATGAGACAGCTGAAATTTTGTGGTCAAATAAGGAAAGATTTTCTGTCTAAATTTATGAGATGAGGTTTTATCATTATTTACATACAGACTATAGTCATTTTTGTTTCTAATCACAATGTTTCAGCCATTGTGCTCTCCAGCCTTCATCAGTTGTATGTCAATCCGGGTAACCTACAGGGAATTTTGAACTGAACTCATTATTCAATCTGTGTTGGTGGGTTGCTCTCATTCCACTGACCATATCTAGGGAAATCTTGTCTAGTTCTTATTTTAGTACTGCTCACTTATTGCTAACCCCATTTGAAAGAAGACTTTAAATATATGACACTCACAGGACATATCAAAGATAAAAGAAGCAGAGAAAAGCAGCAGATAATTTACTTGACAGTTTGAGCAAATGGATGATGTAACAAGTACCTCAAAGAAGTGTCATAAAAGAGCAAGTATTGCTCAAAGAAAAAATTGTGAAGTAAAATTCATGCCCATCCATATCCTGAAGGGATGTAGCAAATAGAGAGATTATGATTGTGGGGTGATAATGTAGCATCTGTAATACATTTTTTTTTTTAATGAAATTACTACTACTAATTACTTTTAGTGGCAGAATGGTATCCCTTACAGTCAGTTATACTTACCTAAATCTAAGAACTCATCAATTTTTACATTTAGTTGTTTGTAGATATGTTCTTCCGCTTCACTTCGAGCATCCTTTAAAAAATAGATAAAAAAAAGAATCATTAATTGTAAAAACAAAATACATTTAGGTAACTGATCAAAAAATTTTTAAATCCTACTAATATTCTATATGACATAAAAAAATTATTATCTGTCTATATTTCTGAGATGAACTATTATGTACACTATTTACATTATTCGGACTCTTGTCCTCATCTTTGTCGCCATATTTATTACAACATTTTGACCATTGTACACTCCGGCCTTCTTCAGGTAGTTGGAATGTCGAACTGAACCCTTTATTTCACTCACTGGGGTAGATTGTTCTAGTTCCACATGCCATGTTTAATAGATGTCAGTTATCTCCTGTTAATTCCCCTCTCCAAGTTCTCCACTGGCTTAACAGAGTATTGAACTCACACTCTATGGGTCCTGTCACTGGATCTAACCAAAAATTTATAGTTGACAATGTTTTTTTAATGAATTTTCAAAGTTAGACCAAATTTTTCAAACATAAAATTTAATTCCAACAGTGAATAATATTCTGATGCAGCCATTTGTAAAAGCAGTTTTAGCATAAATTTCAAATATGATTTTTTTTTTTTTTTTTTTAAAACATCTTTTTATTAAAAAAATATCTATTTTTTTGTTTAAATTTTGAGATGAGGAATTGTCAACATCATTTTCAAGTGCTTATTCTAATCTTTAATTATTGTAGACATATTTCACCCTCTGGTCATCTCAAGGTGTGCATTTGTTGACTAAAGAATATGTTCTGTCACTTTTGGGCCTAGTATTCTTACTTTAACAAAATAACACAATCAACTAAAACAAGATACCCTTTATCAGCAAAATAGTCACCTGAAATTGGCTGGAGTGTACTCAGTGGAAATAATGAACACAATAGTTTGAAATATCAAAGTATATTGATGAAAATAAAAATATTTTAAATCTTTTCTTGACAGAAGTAGAAAAAGATTTAAAAGCAGATATATTAGACATTTAGTAATAATGACAGTATTCATTTACAAAGCACTGATTTCATGATACTATAGTATGTTATGTTTTGTGGAGGCATACAGAAAGAGTCGGGGGGGGAGTAACTGTATGTATCCAAATATAGTAACTGCCTCCTTTACAATGTGGGTGAAGGAAGGTATATATTTAAATGTATCAGGATGGTGTAGCAATGTTGTGTAAATTTTGTACCTGGGTATGTTATAATGACTGCAGCATCTGAGAATAGACAAAGTTCATTATCAACTCTAACTTTGGTTGATTTGTCATGTTTATATACTCATTGATAGATGGGCTTCATAAAGGGAATTTTGCTTCTTGTTGGCTTGCAGCCTTTATCCTGGCGGTGAAAGCTTTTTTAGAAATGGGGAAATGTTGGTCTACTTGTTATTTGTTTATTTCCTGTCTTACATCCTGGTTGTGAAAGCTTTCTGATTGTTTGGTTGAACTATGGCTTTGTTTACTTGATGGTTTTTATTATCCATCTATTTTTAGAGATGGAAAAAATTTGATTTTCTTGTTATTTATTTCTCTAATACCACAATCTTTACCTTGGTTTGGTTTGTTTTATGGTATATCAACTTCAATACACAATACTTACCTTAAACATAGATGTACCAAGTAGTTTGGCTACATGAATGCTATCCTTCTCAGCACTGAAAAGAAAAAAAATTGCTAATGTAAACCAATGATAATAGCACAAATTACTGGTTAAGATAAAAGCTTGAACAACAGAAATAGAAAAATAAAAGATTTAAAAAAAAAGAAAAAAGAAAAGGAAAGCACTTACCCAGTTATGTTAGAGATGTATTCCTCCAGTGAACTACAAGAGTTCTCTAGATTGTTCATGTTAATGGAAATCTGTATTAACTGTTAAACAAAGGAAAGTAGTAGAAGTAAAGAATTCACACAAGTCATAAAAATTCAGCTTCTTTTTATCCATAGGAATAGACAATATTTTCACTTGTAAAGATTAAAAGTTACATTAGGCTATATTTATTTTGAAAAGTCCTCATATATATATATATATATATATATATATATATATATATATATATATATATTTAAGAATTTTTTTTGTTAAATAATTTAGACATTATATCTATTTATTTTAGTTTTAATCTTTTCAAATCTGCAAATTAATTTCTTGGCAGCTGTATAATTTTTATTTTCCCAAGAACTTTCAATCACATCTGAGAACATCTTCAGGAGGTTAAAATACCTGTGGATGTGTATACAGTAGCTACACATTCACAATCTACCCTCTTCATTCATTTTTTATTGAGCCTACTTCAAGTGAAGTTTTTTTTATCATTTCACCTCAAGCAAAGCAATAAAGCCACTAAAATACAAAGGGTTACTGAGCATTAGAAAATAGGAAAAAAACACTATTATGAAGAGAGAACAATAAAAAACAGAAATTAAGAGGACACAAGATAACAATTGACATTGCACACTGCATTTAAATTTTTGAAGATCAATGTTGTCTAGGAAGCAAAAAGCTGGAAGAGAATTGCACAAGTTTTACTTTATTTACAGTTGGACTAATGTCCTCATCTTTGTTCATATGACAATGTTTTGGCTGTTGTGCCCTCCAACATTCTCCAGGTGTCTGTTGATCTGAGTAACCTTCAGGGAATTTTGAAATTTTTTTTTTTTTTTTTTAATCATTTCACCCCAAATAAGACAGTAAAGCCACTAAGACAAGGGTGTTACTGTGTGTGAAAAAATATGAGAAAAAGAAAAATATTAAGGAGAGAGAACAATGAAAGAACAGGAATTAAGAAAACAGATGATAATGATCGACATTGCATTTAAATTTTTGAAGATCAAAGTTGACTGAGAAGCAAGAAGCCAGAAGAGAGTTCCACAAGTGAGAAGTGTGTTACATCTAGCCATTTCAACTGTAAAATGATGAGACCTTGCTACCAATCTAGTAGTATGCTTAAATTTATAAAGTCTAGGTAGCATAGAAGAAAGTTCATCAAATCTGGTGCAAAAATATTTTTTTCATATTTCTGTATTATCTATTGAACACCATGTTTCCCTGATGGTATAGCTAATTTGTATTATTTTTTTTTTTAAGCATTTTACCCCTAGCAAGGTGGGAAGCCACTAGCACGCAAAGGGGGTTACAGAGGATTTGGAGCGAGAGCAGATAGGAATGATAGATGAGAGGATGAGGAGAAGGATATTGGATAGATCAAGGCAACTGGAGATGTCGATTGACATGACATTTGAATAGTTGAAGATTAAAGCTATCAGGGAAACAGGAGTAGGGAAGAGAGTTCCACAGGCGAGAGGTGAGAGACATGAAGCTATTGGAGTAGAAGAGGTAGCTACAATTAACAGTTTCAACAGTGAAAGGGTGAGAGCAGGATGCCAGCCTTGTAGGATGCTTGAATTTGCAAAGTCTTGGAACCAGCGTGGCACAGAGAGCTAACTTTCCTTGTGGTGGACAAAGCAATTGACTCAATGTATTTGTTCCAATTGACTCAATGTATTTGTATTGCTTCAGTTTTAAGGCCTCGTTGATTCCAGTTTAATCTTTTATTTTCTATTTGCTTTATCTGCTATTATAAGCACATTCAAAAAAAAAATAACTTATTTTTAATCCTTGTATATGAAATTAATTTAAATGTCTTCATTCATAAACCATCTTGCATTGTGAATATCATATGTGGAATCTATAGTTTGGAAATTATTTTTATTTGCTATTTTTTTTAAATTTAATAATTCTCCTCATGCTATGACTAAGTTCTATTGGATTTTGATTACTATTATGGCATTGGTTTCCACATAATGTTTACTCATGGAATTATATAAAAAATAAATTTAAAAAATGGCATATATATTAAGTTTTTTAATTTCTATATAACAACTGCTCTCATCTTGTGGGATTGTTGGTTTCAAATTTGTATTCTTTGCTGCAAATATGTGATATTGTACAGGTAATAGATTGTGTATTTTTTATCCTAACATGCTTTTTTATGTAAGAGTACAGTGGTTGTTACTATGCTTTTTTTTTAAACTGACTTTCTAGTGTTTAATATATGTAATGTCTCCTACAAATATATCTCATCACTTGTAAGCCTCACTGTACCTACCTTATTTATACAAAAGTGTTGTATTTTGCACAATGTTAGGGAAATCTTAGAAGTGTCTTTGAAGTTTACTTGGCTCTGTATTGCTTGTGAAACTAGTAGATTATAATAAATCATTTACAATCCCTAGAAAAAATTCAGAAGCAATGAAAATGAGACTGACATGAACTTATAGAAAGGATAATTAGTCAGCATTAAAACATTTTTCTTTATCTTCTTGCTCAATAGAGTAAAATAAATTTCAGACTTGTGATGAAAAATTGATTCATGTTAATCTACAATGAGGAAAACTGTGAAGTCCAGGAGAGCTTTCATAATTTGAGCCTAAACAGAATCTACTGCGGAAAAAATTCAATGTTTGGTAGAATTAGAAAGAAATTCTCTATTGCACATTGCTGGAACTTTGACAAGGTACAAACTACACAATGCTACAGTGAGCAATTGGCTATTTGAATATCATTGGAAGAGAATAAACTATTTGGTGGGTAAGGAAAGTTGACCAATGATTTTACTACATGACAAGACCTACTCATGTTACAAATGATCATGGAACCAAGATGGGGAGTTCTTCTGCATATTTGTTTTTCAATGAGCCCAGGTATTATTTACTATAATGACTTTGATGATTAGGTTTCTAATTCATTGACCAATATAACTGAATTATTTTGGATAATTAATACAGTGATATCAAGTAATAAAATTCAGAGCTGGTTAGTTTAAATGTTTAGTACTTTTAGTAGTTAATTTTTTTTATATTTTTAGTATTTCTATATTTCAAATGATTTAGACAGAAATTAAAAAAAAAATCAAATTTTTATGAATGTACAAATTAGAAGCTAAAAGAAAGAAAATATGATTGATTTTATATCATTTCTTTACTGCAGACATGGCCAATGTGTTAATGGCCATCCCAGAATTTGTCTATAAAGCTTTAGAAAAGAACAGCAGCCCTAGATATCTCAAAAGTGTTCACTGGGGGGGTAGCATATGCTGGCCTTCTCCACAAGCTCAGAGCTACAGTATCTCTGGATGAATATTTGGCTTAAATCAATCATTCCCAAGAAATCATGTAATGAAGGTCATGTTGAATGGATATGCTTCATTTTCATTTCTTACTAATGCAAGGGTCCCCCCCCCAACGTTCTATCATCAGACCTACTTTGTTTTTGATCTTTCAAGAAAGACATTCCCAATGTTGTGAGTTCCTAACTAGTTATCAATGCAGATAACAACTATTTACACCTGTCTTAGTAGCAAGTTCAACAGATTCAACAAAGTAAAACTGGCAACTGTTCTTGAAAAGGATCTCCAATCAGTGGTTAACTGGGGCAAGGAATGGCTTGTAAATTTTAATGCCTCAAAAACAAAACTGCTTTCATATAATCACTACAGGGAACCTTTTCTGCCTGTCATCAGCATAGATGATGCTAAACTCCAGGAGAAAAACACAATGATCTGCAATGTAATTGATCCTGACTTGGCATCTCTATTTCAATTACTTTCACACCAATGTGACATGGTTTCCCCTCTGTCTTTTCTATAAATATTTTCATGTCAATTGTTCTGATGAGCTGTTATTAGTGCCTCAAATGCATGAATTTAAGCATGCTATTAAATTGGCAACAGTTTTACCGTTGAACTAGCTAGATGCAACATCAGTTCTATTCTTTTCTTGCACTTCTTGCCTGTGGAAGATTTCTTGCTTCTCTGCCACCTACAATCTTCAAAAATTTAAATGTAATTACCATCTTCTGTCTTCCTGAATCCTATTCCTGTATTGTTCTTTTCCTCACTTCTCCTTACTAAATTTTTCTAATTCTCTTTCACTGCCTGTAACCCCTGCATCCTAGTGGTATTGTTGCCTTGATTGAAGTGAAATGATTAAAAAAAAAAAAAAAACCCTTTTTATACACTTACCGGATGACATTTTCTTTCATTTATCCTTATAAAATTCTTTAGGAAATAATTATATTCATTTTAATAATAAAACCTTTAATAATATCACATGAACATAAAAAGGAAAAGACTTACTTGCAAAAGGCTGAGGGAGGGTTTTTTTATGAGGGTAGATAAACAAGCACTGAGAGTTCTGGTCAAAAGAAGATTGGTTGACTTCCGGATCATATCATCTATCTCTGTATGACTGTAAACAGGAGAAGAGAGGAATTGAGAAAAAAAGGAGAATTTACTAAATAAACTGCACTAAGGCATACTATTAGAACTATTTTTGCTTTACTCTTCATCCTTAGAACATCTTTCAGATTCTAATTAGCTTTTAGATAATCATTCAGAAATGTTAAGATGATATTCACATATAACAAGCTTTCTGAAAATTTGACATGTTCTTAAATAACATTGAAAGTTTCATATAAATGTCATACATGCTGCCAAACTGGTTCAGAAATATCTAAACTGTCAGCTGTATACAGCGACTTTCTCAGATCAATGGTTAAAATAGCTTCAAGTGAGTGAAATCTATGGGTCTTGGTGAAGAATATCCTTCTTTGAACCTTGTAGACTGGAGCTACAGAATTAGAAAGAATAGCACCAGATAACAGAAACCACGTCACTTGAGAACTTTCATATACACACACACACACACATATATATATATTACTGAATTCCTCTCATTTATTACCCAGGCTTCTTTTTCTTTTTCTTTTTTAACTCTTCAAATTCTGGTCAAGTTGGATTGGAAAGCAAATATTATATTTACCTTTTCAGACATTTTTAAGGGGAAAAAAGTGTTTATATGTGATCAAATGTAGTATAATATCTGCCAGTTGTGAAACAATGACACTCCATAAGATTTTTCAAAAGGATAAATAAAAAAAAATATAAAAAAAACAAAACAGAATATGTAATATTGCTAACAGGGTGAGTAAAGAAGCAAATTAATTCCTTCAATAACTGGAGAGTCAGAAACCTGGCTCAAGTGATATCTGCTAGAAGAAATTTCTCAAGCAACTACCATTTTGATTTTAATCTATTAGCCATTATCAAGGATGTTTTTGTATTTCAACAACAGAAATGTTTTAATCCTCGAACAGTGTCAGCACATTGTAGTCATGTTCATAATTAATATTATTAAGAGTTGGGTTCTTGATTTTTATCATGAAGGCTTCAATTATTTTTAAGCACCTTCTGCTATTAGAAGAATGTATTATGCTGGTATTTTCTACAAGTGTGTTGCAGAAAGAGATTGGCAGGTTTTTGTACATATTTAAATGCGTCCTAATGGAGCTTTGATCTGAGAAATGTAAAGTAAGTTTTTTTGATAGGCATCTAAAATGCATGTCCAATATAATTATTATTCATGAATTTGTTCTCAGCAGGAACATATTAAGAAAAGCAAAAATATCCCTCATAATGGGCTAATAGATTAGCCAAAAGTGCTTGGATTCAAAGATCATTTGGATAGTTCTTACACGCTATATCAACAAATAAAAACAAACACTTATATGCATGCAAGAAAAATATAATAAAAAGCTTAATTGCAGTATACTGTAGTTATCCTCAATGAAACCTGTATAAGAGAGGAATTGCTGTCCAGGTACAAATTATATATATATATATATATATATATATATAAAATGGACTCTCTCATCGGTTTCGACATATGAGAATCTGACAGCTTAATTGATTCAGTTATGAAATTTTGTGTGATAATCTTAAGTGGCATTTAAGACCCGCTAGTGATTTACAAAGGAGGCCACATATGGAGCAAGTGTGAACAATATAAGTAAATAAATATATATATATATAATTACGATTCCAATGGAATAAATTATGACCATGGAATATTAGTGTTTACGCCTTTTTATTATATCTATATATATATATATTAGCTCCCAATTAATAGTAGAGCATTTCCGCTACATTTATAACCTATCAGTGACATCAAAAAATTTAGATTCAACTACTCCCTAAAAACATAACCACCCCACCCACCTACAAATTAAAATAGAAAAAATAGAATGCCTCATAAAAGAATGAGATTGAAAGCACATTTCTTCCTAAACACATAGATTATTTGCCCCTATTGAACATTTGCATATTTTTCAATAGGGGAATGTGAATATTTGAAAGTAATTATTGAATTTATCATAAATAATTGATCCCATATTTAGTTTTGAATAATTTGTGATTTTTTTTTTTAGAAGTTTCAGTCTTTTATCTTCATAGGTATAGATTTATCTAAAAATTGCTGCAGTCCAAAATTATTTTCCCCCTTATGAAATAATATTGCTCTATGGTAATTGTAATTTTTTTTTCCTTAATTTGACATTTAATACCAACAATCTTTGAAAAGGAAATAGTATTGACCTGGTTCTATAACATTCTATAAGGTAAAGAAGAAGATGATATGTGAGTGCCATGTACTGCAATAATTCATTCATTTTGCAACTATGTTGAAGTTGACTGAACTTGACAAGAAGCTCCAAATGAAGATAGTTGATGCCTATAAACAAGGTGATGAATATATAACACTTTCCAAGCATTTAAATGTTCCTAGATTGACAATTTGTAGCATTATCAAGAAGTACATCAAGACTCATAGTGTTGAGAACATATTAAGGACTGGCAGAAAATGGTTAATCTTGGAGAGAAAGGAAAATTGTTAGAGATGTCTCAAAGACTCACTTAACAATGAAGGAAATTATCAATGATATAAAGACATCAAGGTTGAATGCATCAACGAAGACAGTCACTAGATGCTTTCATCAAGCAAAAATTTGAGTTTGTCACCCAAAGAAAACTCCCTTGCTTAAGCCTAAACACCTAAAATGCAGATTAGCTTAGCCATCTAGAACATCAGAGTAAATATTGGAACTCTGTTTTATGGTCAGATGAAAGCAAACTAGAATTATTTGGTTACATGAACTCCCATTATGTATGGAGGAAAGTAAATGAAACTCACAAAACAAAAAATACCCTTTCTATAAATTAAGCACAGTGATGGGAGCATTCTGCTCTGGGGATGTTTTGCTGATTCTGGTCCAGGAGAACTAGTAAGAATACAGGGTATCATGGATAGAGCAGTCTTTGGATATTCTTAAAAATAATATAAAACAAAGTGCATGAAAGCAGTCTTTGGGACATGACAATGACCCAAAACACGTGGCATGAATTATTCCAAAATACTTAGATGACAGCAAAATTAAGGTATTGATGTACCCTGAACAAAGTCCTGACCTAAACCCTATTGAAAATTTATGGGCATATTTGAAGAAAAAGTAAGAGAAAGAAGTCTTTTGAATTTGGAGGAACTAAAAGCTATTGCCAAGGAATAATGGAGTAAAATACCTATCAGTATATGTAGTGAAACTGTAAGGAACTATCAAAAATGATTAAAGACAACAATCAAGAATACATGTTACACAACTGATTATTGAGGCAAAAGGGCCAATAATTTTATCCTATGTTAAACGTTTTTTGGTGTCTTTTTTTGCATTATTGTTTAACATTAAAATAAAAAATTTGCTGTTGTCATCACCATACATTCTTTCAAGTCCATTATTTCATCATTTGTGAAAAAATGCACATGAAGTTTCCATAAAAAATTGAGGTATTTCAGTTCTATTTGTAATTATGGAAATGAGGGTGAATAATTCTGTCCACAATTGTATAGATAAAAGTGGGCATTGAAATTAAAATCCAGCAATGACAGTCTGTTTCATGCTTATGTACAGTTGTCAGGCCATATGCGTTGTGTTTTTGCTTGACTATTTATATATACAGGTCAGTGATGCATTGTGGGTAATATATTTACATACACTAACCCTGATATTGAGCACTTTAACCCATAAATAGAGAATATCTTAAAACTGTGTGTGTGTGTTTGTTAATTGTCTAGGCTAAATACCATAATTTAAAACTGACCACTCAACAAAGCAGATAAATACACATGCTGAAGAGCAATTGACATTTATTTAGCTTAATAAAAAAAACAATAAGAAATTGAACATTTGCATATTTTTCAATAGGGGAATGTGAATATTTGAAAGTAATTATTGAATTTATCATAAATAATTGATTCCATATTTAGTTTTGAATAATTTGTGATTTTTTTAGAAGTTTCAGTCTGTTATCTTCATAGGTATAGATTTATTTAGTTGGAAGAGCTATGATTTCTACACTTTGTGTTTATCAAGTTTTCTTTCAAAGTGAGAAATGAGAAAATTATAAATTCTCTATTTAACAACTTACAAGCATTGCATTATTTCTGAGTATAAGATGTTTAATTATAGTTTTAATGCAATCCAATTGTGTTCATCTTTTAGGACTGAGATTATATATAAGAAAGTAGTCATTTTGAAGGGAAATTGTAACAAAAATTAATATATGGTATAATCTTTGGCCAAAAGCAACCTTTGAATTTTAGAAACTCACCCAATATATATTAGAGTGTAGCTATTATCACTATAGTTATTGGATTGATTTGTTTTTATAGCTTATGAACCCTCTGTAGGTTATTTATATATTTAGCCAATATATATTTTGGATTGTAAAAATTGTTTTAGTTGTGAGTGAATATTACATTAACAATATTTTTTAGCATAATGATTTTTCCAGATCTAAGTTCAATTATTTAACCCTTGGCTGAGGGAGAGGAGATGGATTCTTACCTTTTTCCAAGGGTATTTGCATGGATGTAACAAACCTGACTGGAATTCAAACTTGGCTCTCCAAGTTGTCATTCTGAGGTACTATCCATTACACTATCTGCACATCCCCATAGACATTGGAATGAGGATGAGAATGAAAAGTTTAGTCTAATGATTAACAATATTGCAGTGAAACAATTACAGAAAATGAGCTCTTAAAAATGTCAAAGTTCAAAATCATCTTTTGTGAGGAAACAATTCATCTTACCTTAAATGCAAATCTGATGAAAATTTCAAGCAAGCATTAATGTATTCTTTAACCTCATGGTAAATCTTTGGTACAAACTGAGAGAATGGAAACTGTTTGGGAAAGCTATCCTGTAATATCAAAAAAAGAAACATTAAGTCATAATAATGAAAAATGACCAATATATTCTTTATTATAATGTTTAATGTTACCTTCTTTGTCAATATTTTTAAAAATAAAACACAATCAAAACAAGCAAATATTAAAATATGAACATATTTCAGTTTA